GCGACCTCTGACTCTCCACCCCCACCCTCTACCCCGTGACGCCCGCGTGGGCGCCGCTGGGGCTGGTGCGAAGGGCCCGACACAGTTTGAAGTTACATCTAGTTGAAATTAAAGAATACTGCATCGGCCCACGGGCAGAAATGTAATTCGGGTCATTATGGAGACGTTCATGGCCCGTGGTGGAGGGGGGAAACTTGCTAGGCATGGGAAACTGTCCTCGAGCATTCTATGACGACACGACCAATAACAAGCGAATAAGACAGCGAATTGTCCTACTTGCTATTTTCTTAAACATGATCATATATAACTTAGTGATTACGAAAGTCATTCACCACGCGAATCTATCGTGATTTGAAGATAACACTCGAGATTAAAATCATCAAAAGCAGTGATAAATCAATAACCAATAACCAGAAAAGAAGTCTTTTATGTTGTGTCCATTCATCCGCGACCTGTAGGGATAAATGTGAACAAGTTGAGAAGGTTCTCATTTATTCTAGAGAGCTAAATTAAGGAGCAAATGTAAATTACGTGTATTCAGACGAAGCAAGGAAACGGTAAATATGATTTGAGAGGCCACAATGGCCCATATTTATTGCAATCAATAGATTTTGTCAACGGTTTTCATTGATTTTGTAACACATAGAATGTGTTTTAGGTCTACATTTTATCTTGAAATAAGAATATGAATCGTCATTGCCAATAATATTTTTTAACACAAAATTAGCTTTCGATGGCGTGCCCATCATCATCATCATTATCATCAGTTTTCTGCTGTATGGACGCCCAAAAACGACTAGTCGGTATACACTCTTCATATTTCTGTCTGTAGTATCGCGTCATTGAAGGGCCAGTAAGACCTCGGCGCATGTCGGATTTGACTGGGTGTGTTGGGAGGGGACGCACTTCCCCACATGGCTTCATCTGGATTACAAGAGTAGATAGAACGATGAAGATAACGAAGGGAGGGGATTGGAACGGGAAAACATCAAGTACATGTCTTTCACCTGCCCGGAGTTCGAATTCGCGACCTCCCAATTACCAGTACGCTCGAGCCGTAAGGCGTTGCCTTTATACTCACCGCAACTTGTGTTAACAGCTTTAATAAAATATATATCAATAAATGATGCCTTATTTTACATAGCGAAACTCGGGCCATTCTTGAGCCTGACCACACGAATTTCCTTACGCTCCGAACAGGTACTATTCGGGCGACGAAACAGGCGATTTGAATTACGCTCAGAGGCTTCTTTTAGGCTTGAGGATTTTCACCTGCAATAATCTTCAACATGGAACAAATGGCTTTACTTCTCCCAGAAATTTTTTTTCGCCCCACGGCTTCATACTGGTTTGAACCCACCAGCCTGAGTATAAAAACCCTATAGGCTAACCGTTACTCCATAGCCACGATTTTTCTAAACGAACGTATACACGATTTTTGAAATTCCAGTACTTCTACGTTCTTCTTATATAGGAAAACGGACTTGTTCAATACATGTCGAATTTCCGCAACTGCACCAAATGCCTCGCGCTGCGCCACCGCCGCGCGGGGCGTGCGCCGGGGCCAGAGCGTTGATCCGCGGCCGCCGCCCCGGGCGAGC